GCCAGTGCGCAGTGTGGAATTTCTCTTTTATGTCAGTGTTTGTGCTTATACGGCCTAGGTACAATAAGATATGGATGGGCGTAAGAGATTAAGTGGACACCAATACGCTAAGCAGAGGGCAAAAAAGGCAAAAGAACAAAATGATGTTATAAGCAGAACTGCTAAGATCTCGGCTAAGATAGACAACTTTTTTATACCCGCGGCTGCATCAAGCTTACTTTCTACAACTACAAGTACCACTGATATTGACAATGAAGTCACAGCAGATACAGTTGCTTATAATAGTGGTATTGAAAACACACTTTCTCAACCTTCAACTTCATTGCAAGAAGAAGCTAATATTAACGAAAAATATGACACTTCAGCTGATAAGAGTGGTGTTTGCGTTTTCGAACCTTCTGAATGGGGCGTGGATAACGAGACTATAAATTTTTTAATAAAAAATGGAATCAACCAAAACTTGGATTCCGATTTTACAAAATCAAAGCGAGTCTACTCCGATAAATCACGTTTTTTATCAAAATCACTGTTCACGAGAACTATGTCGAATGGGGCGAAAATAAATCGGCAATATTTGATATATTCTCCAAAGGTTGGGGCAGTATATTGTGCTCCTTTGTAAACTTTTCACTAATGAAAAGAATCAATTTTCAGAGGGTTTTTCCGACTGGAAATACGCAGAACAAAGAGTACAAGCTCATGAAAATTCGGCACTTCATAAACAATGCGAAGTTATAATGCTCAAGCGTGGAGAAACATGTGGAATAGATGCGTCCTTGAAAACACAGTTAGAAGCAGAGGAAAAATATTGGAGGAATGTTCTCATGAGGGTTGTAACTGTCGTAAAAAAGTTATCTAGTCGGGGTTTGGCATTTCGAGGCTCCGATGAAAAATTCGGGTCACTGTCTAACGGAAATTTCATGATGTCTTTGGAAATGATTGCGGAATTCGATCCCTTCTTAGCTGAACACATTTCTAAGTATGGAAATCCAGGCCGAGCGTTTTAAACAATAAACAATATTATAAGTGACATTAAGAAAAATAAATATTACTCGGTGAGTGTTGATTCATCTCCTGATATTTCTCACGTTGATCAATTGGCTTTTGTTATCCGTACTGTTACAAAAGATGGCAATCCTGTAGAACGCTTTTTAGGATTTAAAAACAATGTGGGCCATAAAGCCGAACAGTTGATTAATTCTCTTTTGAATGCCTTAAGAACTTGGGACATTGACATAAAAGACTGTAGAGGGCAGAGTTTTGACAACGCCAGTAATATGTCCGGTGCGTATAGTGGGCTACAAGCGCGTGTAAAAGAACTTAATAGCTTGGCAACGTATGTACCTTGTTCCAGCTCATTCGCTTAATTTGATAGGTGTTCATGCTGCGGAGTGTTGTAGTGAAGCTCGCCAGTTTTTTGACATTGTTCAAAAAATTTATAATTTTTTTTCTGCGTCCACGCATAGATGGTCCATTCTGTGTTCCAAACTTAAAGGAAATCCTGTTGTGAAAAGTCTTTCTGCAACAAGATGGGCTGCTAGAGCGGATGCGTGTAGCAGTTTGCACAGAAATTATGATGCAATTTACGATTCGTTAACTGCAATATAGCTGGTGATAATTCTGAAAAGCCTATCACTCGTTCTGAAGCTGAAGGTCTTATTACTCGTTTAGAACAATTTGAAAATGCTGTGCTAACTGTTATGTGGTTGACACTGATGGAAAGGTTTTATGCAGTGCAGACTAAGGTGCAGTCTGCAAATATGTGTTTAAATGAAATCGTCGACCTGTATGACTCATTGTCAAAATTTGTACCCTCTTTGCGAGAGCAGGGGATGTTTGAGCATTTTGAGAACGAAGCGTTAAAAATATCAGTGACCTCTGATGGGGAATATGACGCATGTAAGAAAAGGAAAAAAAGAAGAAAGCTACAAAGTGACGAATCGAGAGAAGGAGATATAGAATTGAATGGAAGGGAAAAGTTTAAGGTTGAAACGTACTTAACAATACTACACAAAATCGACTCCGAGTTAACAAGGCGTTCTGCCTCCTACAAGGAAACATGGGAGAAGTTCAAAATATTGGAATGTGTTTATAAAAAGGAAACTCGGGAGTGTGACCTTCTAAAATACGCGAAGAACCTTATAAGCGTTTATCGAAACGATTTAGAAGACTCCTTTGTGCAGGAGTGCCTACATTTTCATTCATATGTCAAAGAAAGGGCACATTCATTTGTAAAATCTTCAAAAAATGGCGAAACACTGTGTTTCTGTTTATGTGAACAAGGAATCACAGAAAATACAGCTCACAGCGAAGAAAATATTATTATACAAATTGCTAAATTGATAAGATCCGGTGACTTACAAAATGTGTTTCCCAATATGGATATTGCATTCCGAATTTATCTTTGTCTTTTTTCAACAAACTGCTCAGCGGAGGGATCCTTTTCGGCAATGAAGCGGATAAAGAACTTTTTAAGATCAAAAATGTCTAATGGAAAATTCAATCATTTAGCCATTCTGTACATCGAAAGACAGCTAGTAAACGACTTAAATTTCGATGACATTATTTCTGACTTTTCTTCTTTAAAATGTCGACGTAAGAGACTTCAGCACTAACCACGGAGATTTAATATTGTGTTGTGTTTATAATTATATTGTTTTACTATTTCATTTATGTATATTAAAGTTTTTTTTGCATAATTACGTTATGGTCATTATTATATATGTGCCCACTTAAAATAGGGGGGCGTTCACAGGTTATGCCCACAGCGGCAATTTGATTTAATCCGGCCCTGCTCACACCCGTCACTAATGATCATACTAAAATTTCACCATACCTGAAACCTTATTACAGCACTGGTGCTCACACTCCTAAAAGCAAGTACGCCACTGTATAAAATTCACGAACATCTGTAGTAATGACAAAAACGTGGTCTACTTAGTTTTCATACATAATTATAATTACAGGTAAAGTTGAGCACAACTGTAGTAGTAGTAGTTAATAATAAGTAGTAGGGGAAAATAGTGCTAGCATGTAAGATTAGAATGTAGGTAGGATAGGAGTATTGTAGAAGTAGCGAATAAAACTCGACTGGTCAGAGAAAGTGTGTTTCCTTCGGACTCCAGGTGAGTCCGAACAGGAAGGATAAATCCCCTAACATTACATGGCGACCATGACAGGACCCAGGGCAGGATTTCGGCAAGAATCAGCACCGCCCCAGTATAGCAACTAGGTGAAGTGTCGTGATCAAGGTGATAATGATAAATTTAGTGAAGTGTGGAGTAAATATTAGGGAGTTTGATGGAAAGTACACTTAGTAACTTAAACGACAATATCAGAACTTTTAGAGACAATTTAAAAAAGGACAATGCAGCACGACGCCAAAATGCGGCGCTGACGGAACGTAAGTTAAAAGAATTGCATAAATTTAGGCAAAATTATGAATCTATAGTAAAGGACGTGCATATTGCTGTAAATTTACTACCAAAGCTAACGGACGATATCGAATCTATTTATCAATTAATCGAAGGTATAGAGTTGTACGAAGCAGGTTTAAACGCAGAACGTGCAACGTCGTGAAAGAATTCGTTTGCGACAAACTTACACCACAATAGAACTTCGAATTGCAGATCTAAAGAAATATTTTATTCCAAAACAAACGTCAGGGGTTCTCACCAATAGGCCTCGATGTCAGATTTAACGTTAGCGTTTGATGTCAGAAGAGTTACGTTCAATTGGTAATCAAAATAATAATGTACATGTACTCGCTCGCGCTCATTCTCGATTGAACTTGAGTGATGTCTGGGATAAGGATACCGCATCAGCTTAGATTTGGTGGGACCGCTTGAAACGGATGTCAGTGGAAATAAATACATTTTAACAATACAGTGCGATCTTACCAAGTACGTAGAGGCATACCCGTTAAAAAGCAAAGATAGTTCAACATTAGCCACAGCTTTTGTAAATAACTTGTAACAGTTTAGTTTATTCATATTCAAATTTCAAAAATTACCGCTTGCTAGGTTAGGTAGGATATAGGTGAGATGGCGTCACTTGTACGCGTGTTTCTTTTCTCGCGCAGAATCGCGTTATTTTTTTTCATTTCCGTTTTAAAGCCAACGAGGTTGTACTTGTTGTAGAGCGTGGCATTGTGAATTCTTCTTAAACCAGTGGGTAATATTTGCCATCATTCACGTGAAATCTCTGGCAATTTTACCTTTTCATTGGCGTTGTCGAGTAGTGTAACTCAGAAGCCGTTTTCTCCATTGCGAGGCTATATCTGGTTGAAGTTCATCGCCCTACCTACATGTAAGTGGAATGGCGTTGGCTTTCTTTTACGTTATGTTATCTAAAATTCTTTCAGATTCACAATTTGAGGTTGGATAATTTCCATATTTCATTGATTTAAGTATTTTTCATTACCCTCCTGACGATTTCAGGTATGTTATTAAAAATCTCGTTAAGGGAGTGTTACATCTTCATTACTTTTAGGGGGTCCATGTAGTAGATGAATTCTTATACCGGTCAATCCTTGTATATGTATAGTTTATAGTATATCCTTGCACATTCTTGTGTGCGGAGGACATTGACCTGGCATAATTTTGGGATAGTAAATGAATTTGCATCTTGCGAATATTCCGGAGTACGAACACCTGTTGATTGCCGGCAGCTATCCGGCGTACCACCGAGTAGATAAGCGCTAACACCTAAACGATACCGGGAGCGACCAGCTGATTGTGGAATTTTCGGAAGATACGATCTTTTACACAACCTTTTTTTATTTGCTTCAATACCGTTAATCTAGTGTAACCTTCCGACGATTTATGATTGGAGCTTTGTATTTTGTTCGCATCTAGTGTTTGAGGTCGTGGCTCTCTTCAAGAGCAACGCACCTGTATTTAACGTATGGGTAAACGAGCCGGCTACGAGTAAGCTATTTTTTTGGCCCTTCCGGCTCGTTCCGAGCGTTGTAGCTTGGGGTTTGTTTTTGTGTTACAGAACTGGAACTTCGAAGGAGAGCTCTTTTTCGGAGAAGACAGCGTATGTGTTATTCAAGGTAAGATTTTTAATTTACTTGTACCCAGTGTTGCCTATATGAGTTGTTATTCGGGTTAACTTAATTCAATCTTGAATCCATTGAAATCTTAGCTACATTTTTGCTCGATCATTGTTGTAGGGGTCTGGTAACGTAATTATTAGGGAAGTGTTCATGAATTTATTTGGGGATTATTTTTGTCATTTAAAGTATTTGTTATTGTCGTATTGAAGATACATTTTATTTGCCGATCCTGCACCGTTTTGCCAGGATTAATAAATCAGAATTGCTCGTAGTGAATTTATTATTTGGCTCTCTTGTGTTTTCCCAATTTCTATACAGGAGAGGTCAGAATTTGTGCAAAATTGGGTGGCGCTCAACTAATCATTTCTAGTAACTACCAAAGATCCAAAACTTATGTTATATGCCCAAACGAACAAACCGCTGTGGAAGATTCTCATCTCGAGCCCTTCTTTTAATTAAGAATCTGAGCTAGCTGGCCGTTTATGCGGCGGGGTTTGAGTTTTACAGCGCCGAACTAACCTCACGTTATAAACTTCGTTTTGAGATACGGAGTGCCTAATATGGTTGTGGCAGACAGGGGAACCGAATTTTTTGGCCGAAATTTTTAAGGATACTTGTAAATTATTACAGATTAAGCAGCTAAAGCTTATAGTACCAGCGGTATACCAAAAGATACTGCATTATCTTATACCAAGGTGCCACTTGATACAGCTGTTCCTTAGAGCCATTTAGACGATTTGGCCCGAAGAACACTTGACATTTTCCGTGTGGGTAGATTTTAGAGGGGGTGGGGGTGATTTATTGTAACATTTTTTTAAAAACTAAATATGGCCTAGAGACGAGATCTGGATGTCGATTTCGTATGATTTTAACCCGAGGAATTCAATGGTAGCGCCAAAAATGTAATCCGGATACAGGAAGTCCGTGAAAAGCCGCCATTTTTAGAAAATGACAGACTTTTGATCGAATTATATTTCTAAGGCACATCGGGCCGTGTAAGGTGTCTAGAGTTATGTTTTTGGGGTCAGGGAATTCATTTATGATAACAAAAATAACCTACTGGCATCGGAACTGCATGAGAGGCTTCCCTACTGCACTTTTTGAGGACGTCGAACGCGGTGAAACCCAAGATATTCCAATGTTTTAATACCTATATAAATTTGTAATATTTTATTTAATAAAAATACACATTAACAAAACATAAAATATATTAAAACATGGAGTAAAAAATTTATAAGCCTATGAAGGATCACCAAGTACATCGCTGACCTCCTCTGAGATTGCGTTATCGCACCACTGAAAGGGAATTTCACATACCGGGTGAATATTTTAAAACCGAACGTAGGAAATTAACATGCGAAAAACGTTTTTTGCGGATCGTTTCTCCCCATGTTAAGGGTTTGTAATGACACCAATCAAAAGAAGATTTTTTTCTCATCCAATGATATACGAATTAACTTATTTTCAGGTATATTTCTCATTGATTTTATCAAAAATTCGGCAATAAATCCAATTAGCAAAATCATGTTAAGCCATGGAGATTTCCTAACGAATTGAAATAGGTTTTCACATTCACGGAAAACAAATATCGCGTACTAGAGTAAATATTTCCGCTGTAAACGTTGTTTATTATAAATACTTTTTCCTCAGTGAACCGCATTTTACAAAAAAATTAATGCCAGGTGTCATAAATTGATATTGAATTCGACGTTTGAATCTGCTTTTTGTCTTAGTCATGGCTAAACATGATTTTGGTAAGTGGATTTCTCGAGTTTTTGATAATAGAGTGAGAAATACACCTGAAAATGAACTAATTCGTATATCAGACGAGGAAAAAAATCTTCTTTCGATTGGTGTCATGATCAACCCTCTAAGTTAACATGGGGAGCAACTATCTACAAAAACCCCTTTTCCCAAGTTAATTCCCTATGTTCGTTTTGGGAATATTCACCCGGTATAAATATTCAAGGTTCGGTAGTAAATTAGGTATATCCGAAGGTATACAATATTCTTACCCTTTGTTTGAGCAATCTCACATACCTTTTTGGCATGCAGGGGAACATGGCAATCCGTGTCGCCGGCAGTTGCACCGAAGGGTCTCGCAGCCACACCTGTCCAGAGCACGGGCTGCCTTCCATACTTGTGGCAGCTTGGACCACAGAACCTTCCAGCCTTTGGCTTCAAGAGTCCATCCCCATCCTTCTGGGCTTGTAGAGCTTCTCATCACCTGGTTTGCACATCCCCAGATATGGCCAGCGACATACGCCGCCCTCCTTATGTGCTCCTTCACCTTTTGCTGCGGCGACACGGATTACCATGTTCCCCTGCATGCCAAAAATGTATGGGAGATTGCTCAAACAAAGGGTAAGAATATTGTATACTTTCGATATAATTTACTACCGAACCTTTAATATTTATATGTAAAATTCCTTTTCAGTGGTGATAACGCAATCTCAGAGGAGGTCAGCGATGTACTTGGTGATTCTTCAACGGCTTATACATTTTTTGCCCCATGTTTTAATATATCTTATGTTTTGTCAATGTGTATTTTTATTAAATAAAATAATATAAGTTTATATATTAAAACTTTGGAATATCTTGGGTTTCACCGCGTGCGACGTCTTCAAAAAATTCAGTAGGGAAGCCTCTCATGCAGTTCCGATGACAGTAGGTTATATTTGTTATCATAAATGAATTCCCTGACCCCAAAAACATAAGTCTAGACACCTTACACGACCCGGTGTGCCTTAAAAATATAATTCGATCAAAAGTCTGTCATTTTCTAAAAATGGCGGCTTTTCACGGACTTCCGGTATCCGGATTACATTTCTGGCGCTACCATTGGATTCCTCGGGTTAAAATCATACGGAATCGACACCCAGATCTCGTCTCTAGGCCATATTTAGTTTTTAAAAAAATGTTACAATAAAAATCACCCCCAACCTCTCTAAAATCTACCCACACGGAAAATGTCAAGTGTTCTTCGGGTCAAATCGTTTAAATGGCTCTAAGGAACAAGTGTACCAAGTGGCACCTTGGTATAAAAAAATGCAGTATCTTTCAAGAATTTCCGTTATACCGCTAGTACTATTATCATCATGAGACGCTAGGTACGCTCGGTACCTTTTTGGTGTTTTGCTTATTATAACACAACGGTCCACACAGAGTCAACGTATACACCTTTTGAGTTAGTTTTTGGACGAATTGCGAAATTACCTTCCCTTCGCCTGACGGTAAACTATGGTAAACGAGTGTTTTATGCTATTTTTCTACTGCACTCCTTTTACACCCTTTTATGCTTATTTTAAATAGGAAAATGTCTTATTTGGGAATTTTCATTTTTTGAAGTTGGCATTACTTGTTACAAACAAATTTTGAACTTCAAAATTGAATTTGAAGTAAAAAGTGTTGCAGGGCGAATTGAATAATTTTCCTCTCAAAATGAGCGACGAAGGATTTGAAATCAATCTTACTCCGCCAGAGGTACGAGAATTAGCAAAAAATGCAGAAGTAAATTTATTACCAGATAAATCCCGCAAAGTTTACGAACAGAGGTACTATAAAGTGTTGCAAGACTGGTGCACAGAACAGAAAGTACAAACAATTTCTGAAAATGTTTACGTAACTTACTAGAAATACCAGGATGTTCACGTACCAGCCCTATCCTTGGTAAGGATAACACACAATTTAGTGCAAATCAGGCCAAGGAGATTCGAAGAGAAATTACAGGAGGTAACAATTTCGTCGCAACAAATATTCCAGATGTTAACGTTAGGCCCAAACGCATTGAACAGTTGCCATAAATGTGTATAATAATTGTAGATTTGATAGTAAAAATTAAAATTATGTTTCTTTCACATGTACCGTTAACCTTATTTTGACGTTTGTCATTTTGTAGGTAGGCATTTAGCGCGCGAAAGTGTTTACCTAATGTTATTAATCAGTAAGTACCAATTTCGAAGCGCAAAACAGCCCTACTTCATTTCCATTTAATTTGTTTTATTTCGATACGCGTTTGCGTGTCGAAATAGGTTCATTTCGAACGTAAAGTAGAAAAAAATATTTATTTTTAAATTCAATGTACTTCCTCTGTTCCGTTATCATCATATTAACAAATTCTTGGACATCTCGTGGTATTAAAACTAAAATTTCTTTAGATCCTTTCCAATGGTGTGGATTTTTTTGTAAAATTTGGCCAAGAGTAGTTCTGTTTTGCTTAATAAGCGCACCAGTTCATCTTCTCTTTCTATACTGGATTGTTGTGTCATATCTGTATGTTGTATAAATTGGATGTCTCCTACACGTTTTCTGTTATGGGCCAAGATTAATAAGAAGGTGACTTCTGTAAGAGCAGTATATTCCGCAACGTTGGTATCTGTACTTCCGTTTTTAATAATAGCGGATAAAATAAAAATGCAGCTATGGTGCTCTTACATAGCGCTTATGACATGTCTTTTAGGGACATAGTCGATGCCATGGAGTTAAAAGGAGCGCAAGTCGCAGTGGGAACCTTGATTTTCTCGGAGGACGCGTTATTGCGTAAGCGCGGTTATATACAGCATTTGGACGCATACTTCGAGAGAGTGCGAGATAAATCGGTCGACGGTTGCGAATGCGAATATATCGAGTTTACTTTCGCTAAAGACCCTTCTTTGGGTTACAGGCACGAGTACGCCAAGTACCTTGAGTTCTTCCTGGCATCAGTTATGGTCTCTTCGTCGGGACTATACACTGGCGTTAAAGAGTTCAAGGCGGTGCGCAATGGCGTATATTTCTTTGAAATAGTATTGGTTAAATCCGCGATTATAGTGGGACCGCAGCAAACGTTTGTGCGAAGAGTTGATACGCTGATCGACTCGCAGAATAAAGTGTTCTTAATGGGGTGGACAATGATGAATGGCCTTGGATCGAGTTATTTGAAACGTAAGATGGTAGCAATCCCGAAACCTACATACGAGAAAATATATAAGTTGGCTATGAGGTCTATCGCGGAAAAG